AAACCGTACTGCTAACCTTAAACATAATACTTTAGTATTCTTTTTTTTTTTTAATGTATCTAATACAGGGTCTCACTACACAGATCTGACTCATAGTGATCCTCCTGTTTTCAGCCTCTCATGCACTGGGATTACAGGTGTGCACCACCACGCCCAGTCTCAGTCACCATCTCAGTGCGACCTGGGGGTGGGCCCCGCATGGCACACTAGGGATCAAACCCCGGTCCAGGTGCTTTAATCTGCTGAGCTATCTGGCCGGCCCAGTAATACTTTACTATTCTATAACCTTCATGTACGTAGTTTTACATTAACAAAGTTGTACATTTTTTAATGTTAGGAACAGATCATGTTGTGACCCACTCAGCACTGTGTGTGTTCAGATTTAGCTGGTGTTCGTTGGCTTTGCCGTGTGAGCTATGTGCAGGCATTCTTCACACGTATTATCTCATGTAATCTTTCTGTTAATTCCATACAACTCTTGAATGTAGGTGTCACAATTTTTAGAAATTTAAGCTAGGTGACTTCAGTTACCTCGTCTGTGATTGCTCACCTTGTAAGAGGATTTGAACTCAGGACCTAAACTCCAATGGTATTGAATAGTGGGTGTACTAATGAGGTTTCTCACTGCTGGGAAAATTGCCAGATACCCACATCTCCAAGGAGAAGAGGGGAAAGCAGAGGACAGAAGAGCTGCAAAGAGAAAGGCGCCAGGGACCACATAGACCACCAGCTCCAGCCTCCGTGACCTACCCAGACACACCCAGAAATGTGCTTGACCACCTCTCTCGGGAAGCCCAAGCCAGTCTGGTCAATAGTCACATTTAGCTGTCACAGTGGGCTTCAGACACGCCAGGCACAGTCTCCCACTGGAGGTCAATGTCATCTCAGAATATCGTCTAGGTGTCGGCTTCCCTTTGTCATCTGTACTCGAGTGCAGATCAGGTTTTACATCTATACTGCAGTGTAACACCCAAAAAATGGATTTTATCTGAAAGAGCCAGAGTGTATTTTTCTTTATCCTTTGGTTATTTTTCCTTTGCTAGTCACATAGCTTGTGGTTAAATTATTTTCCTTAGACTTGCATACTAAAATAATTTGCCTTTGGCTAGAAGCCAAGCACAAACTATTTTCAATTCCATACAAAGCTGTTTTCAGAAGCAGCCCGAATGAAAGAATGTTGCCTTATGGTGGACATTCATGAGTTGTTTATTTGGAGTGATCCAGGCTATTATGTAGTCTCTTCAAACCTTACATCTTCTCAGAGCACTGACCCAAAAGCGCTCATCAGTTACTGTTCCCAGACTTGCACATTGTCCTCTTATGTTGAGTTTGAAACTTTAATGAGGCTGTTTAATTTTCCACTCCTCTATGTGTTTCAGTTTTATAAAATTCTTAGTTTCTTTAGACGGAATGAAAGAACGCCTGAACTAAATAAAACGAGTGCTGATTTTGTTTCAGGAATAATGGTAAGTACTTTCTCTGTGTTATTGCAGTTAAGACCTCCAACCTCTAGTTCTTCCAACATAATAGATGAATTGAAGCTTAAAGCAATAATTTGTCCAAGGTTGCTCAGCTGTAACGAATGCCAAATCCAGGACTCACGACAAAATCAGCCTGGCTCCAGAGCTTTTGCTCTTTGTCTTGTCTTCTAATAGACTTTTATGTGGGGCTATTTTAGATTTATAGAAATGTCGTCCACATAGTACGGACAATCCATGTGTATTACATACATGAATACTACTACACGTGAATATACGTATCTTGCCTCATTTCTCCACACTGTTAGCATTCCATGGTGCATTTGCCAAAACCCACGAAGCGATGTTACATTACTACCGATAAACACTAGACTTTATGTGGATTTCACCATTTTCCACTCATGCCCTTTTTCTGGTGTGAATCCAAACCAGGAACTACAACTGCATTTTCTTGTCCTGTGTCCCTAACTTCTGTTTGCTGGGAAAGAATCTCAGTCTTTTCTTACATTTCATGCTGTGACAGTCTTGAGGGGTGCTGGCCAGGGAACCTCTAGAATGCGCTCCGCTTGGCCTCTCGTGTTTTCACGACTAGATGGGGTTATGAGTTCTGTGTGACAGAGTGGAGAGCAGAGCTTTTGTCCCTATTCTGGTCCTAGGTTGCTCCCAGGAGCACTTATATCACAAGTGGCAGGATATTTCTATTTTTAATTCTACCAAAAAATGGATGGTAGCACAGGTTTGATTTAGAGGGAAGGTATTTAAGAATACAATTTAAAATCCAATGATGATTTGCTTATTTCCATAATGACAACAACTTGAGACTTACTGGCATCCAGTAAGTGTCGGTAGCGCACACCGGTAATCTCAGCACTTCAGAGACAGAGGCAGGAGGACCATTGCAAGTTTGAGACCAGCCTGGGCTACAAAGTGAGCTCAAAGCCAGACTAACTGCATAGTGAGACCCTGTCTCGAAAAAAACAGAGAGAGAGAGAGAGAGAGAGAGAGAGAGAGAGAGAGAGAGAGAA